TCCTCTGAAACATATGAGAGTGAAAGTACAACACCCAAACCTTTGGGACACAGCTAATGCTGTGCTCAGAGGGCAATTTATAGCAAGAAAAGACACACATGGGGGGGACGGGCGGGGAAGGAAAGCCCTGATCAATCCCTTAATGGAACATCTCTAACAATTAGGAAAAGACCAAGAAAATAAACCTGCAGTGCCTTTGAGGAAAGGAAATTTAAAAGTTTAGAGCAAAAATTCAGTGAAACATGAAACATAAAATAGAAGAAACCAAACACACAAAAAGTTGGTTCTTTGAAAGGATTAATAAAATTGAACAGGTGGAAAATCTAAAAGCAGTAAATGCAACTAACATGAAATGAAAAGATAAATGAATGCATAGAGGCCGAAGTTTATTAGTGGTTACCAGGGATGTGACGGAGGGGGCAGGAGGGACTAACAGGGATTGAAACATAATGTTGATTGGGGGAAGGGTTGCACGGTTGATCATTGTCAGTGCCATCAACCAACCGTACACCTATAGCACTTTTCAGAAAAGAAATGAAAGAGGGAAAGTCAACACAGAACTAAAATTTTAAAAAATAAACAAAAGAATAAAATGAAGAACTGTACTTCCACAAATTGCAAAGCATACAAGATTGCTTTGGGACAATCAGAACTTCTAGACTTCTTACCTACGTCTTACTTAGTGTTTTCTATTTTACTTCACTGGTTTCTTGGAGCCCGGCTGGCATAGTGGTTACTAGTTGGGCTGTGATTTACAAGGCCCGACGTTTGAAACCACCAGCTGCTCCTAGGGAGAAATACAGGGCTTTCTGTACCATGAACGGTTACAGTCCGCATCGACTCACTGGCAGGGAGTGAGGTTCTCATATCCATTGCGATGGCTACATAGAACTCACAGGAAAAATTCTTGATTAATGAGTTAATTAAAGAAGCTAACAAGTTGTATGCTATGAGAATACTCAAGATACTTGTTTATGAGGACACGTTTCAAAGTTCTTCCAAGTCTGCTTTGCTGTCGTTGGGTGCTCTCCAGCTGGTTCCAACGCCTAGTGGCCCAATCAATGTACAGCCAACCAGAATCCCAAAGGTGCTGAGCCATCCTCACAGTGGTTCTTCTGTTGGGGCGCATCAATGAAGCCCCCGTGTCCATCTGTCTTGTTGAAGATCTTCCTCTTTTCAATAGTCTGCTACTTCACTGAGCATGATACCTTTCTCCGGGGCTTAGTCTCTCTTCACAACGTGTCCGAAGTCTAACAGATCCTGCTTCTAAGGAGCATTGTGGCTGCACTTCTTCCAAGATATATTTGTTTGTTCTTTAGGCAGTCCATGGTACTTTCACTGTACTTCTTCCAAGATTTGTTTGTTCTTTTGGCAGTCTAGGATTCCTTCAGTATTCTTTGGCAACGCCAATTCATGTTCAGGCTTCCTTATTCAATTTCCAACTTTCACATGCACAGAGGCTGTGATGGGTTTGTGGTGCCAACACGGCACCTGTAAGAAGACATGGGTGGGGTTTAGCCTGTCAATCAGGTCGCAGCTTGATGACCACCTTTGGAGGTGCCACCGAGATAAACGGCTGTCTGGAGGTGGGCCACTCGGTCTCTCTCCCTGGTGTTTGGGCAAGCATGCTGCCTGATCTAGCTGCCCTGCCTCAACACATGTGCTGTGCTACCTGTAGGCCTTGCAGTGCTCTGATCCGCCCAGCCAAGTCCGGTGATGGTGTCACTGTGCAGTGCTGTCCCGTGCCACAGCGCCACCCCACCTTGCTGTGTCTGCTGCCAGTGGGCCGCCTCTACTCATCTTGCCACCATTCCAGATGGCATATCTCCAGCCAGCCACTTCACATTACTACACTGTGAGGCCCCACAGTGTCCTGCTTCACCCCTGGCCTCTGCTACAGCTCACATCTTCATTTTCCCACTGTTTCCTTGGCTTTGGGCTAATGGCCATGTGAGTTGGAAATACTTACAGTATAATTAACTGTCCCACGAAAGTGAGTTGCACTGAGCTCTCTGGACTGCTGTGTGAACTAATTTGCTGTCACATTCCTTTCTGCTTTATAAACTTATCTATCTATCTATTCATAAGTGTCCTGATTTTGCTTCTCTAGAGAACCCTACCTAACACAGAGGCAATAGAAAATGACCATGGTGGGGCACATCTTATTCCTCATACTAACATCTTGGCTTTCAACACTTTAAAGCAGCAGTTCTCAACCTATGGGTTGTGACCTCATTGGGGGTCTCCCAA